TTCTCTGTGTGGATCACCATTGGAGGCTGGACAATTGGACAGCTTGGATTGCAGATCGTGATCATTGGAGTTCAAGAAAAAGCAAAAGAGTTTGTGGAATTCATCAAAGGTATCATTCTCATCACAGTTTCTATCTAAACACATTGCAGATCCTCGTTTGGGAATTGAAAATTATTTTATTTCCGCTGTGCATGATTAAGTAAATTCCCAACAGCATGAAGAAGCAATCTTTTTTCATTGATAATTGCTATTGTATGCAAGTCTATAGGACGTAGAAACAATCTACCACAGAAAAATATCCTTGTTTACTTTTTTAATATTTATTTTTTAAATATGATTCAAATTGTGTATGAGTTACATTAAAATATAATATGGAAAAAATAATAGTCGATGCAGGTTTGGGGTTGGGGTTGTGACCATGTGCCGCCATGATTCCCCAGGGAACGGGACCATTCGGGATGGGGGCGAGTAATTTTCTCTCCTCTAAATTTAGACCTGTTTGATTCCAATTTTTTTTTTAAATACATTTTTTCTCTATTCTTTTCAATCACACGTTTTTAAATAAAATAATATTACACACAATTCAAAAAATTTACCATCAATTTTAACCACACATTTTTTGTCAATCTACTCTTTCAAAATGCTTTACATACAAAATTGGGCTCAAACGGGCCTTTAATACAGATTTCCAACAGTTTTTTGAGAAGAGAAATTCAAGAATTTCAGGTGTTTAAAGATTCAAATTCAAAAATCAGGGACCAAATTTCAATCTTAAAAAATTAGGTGCTATATAAAAATCCTAACCCTACACCCACCCACCCCCCTCTCTCTCCCTCCCCTCCCCTCCCCTCCCCTCTCCTTTCTCTTCCGTCTCCTCCTTCACCTCTTCCTCCCGTCTCCTCCTCTACCTCCCCCTCCCCATCCCCCTGCAGCGGAATCGCAACAGCTGCGATTTTGGTTGGCTGCAAATCGCAGCAGCTAACAAAATACTGAATATGAAAAATATTTGCTGAAAATATTAAGAGAGAACGAGAGAATAGAGATTTCAAAATTCAAATGTTCAAGCTTGTAGATTGTGTGAGTTTGCTATTTTTTTACTTCACAATACCATAATTTATACAAAAAAAATAAAATTACCGTTAACAAAAAAAATTACTGCAAAATTTATTTTATTCAAACCAGGCCAGCGGTCGGTACACCTGAACCGGCCATGACCGGTTCAAGGTGTTGGAGGCCCACGAATTGGCCCACACGGTTCGTGGGCCGGTTCACCTCTGGGTGGGCCTGGGCGGCCCGCCAATCTTGACAAGCCTATCCATTTCAATATTTAAACTACACTTTTTTCATACGCCTCCATCTCATGTGAAGTTCTAGCCACCTAGAGGCCATGTCGAGATCAAGTATAAATGGACAAATTGACCATCAGAAAGCTTAGTGTGGTAGGATGAAGCTTAGCGGCAAGTCTTGGGGCTTAAGCCGAAGCCAATGACGAGGTCTCTATCCAAGGGAAGGCTGAATCGAGCAGGTCCAAGTGGGTTGACGAAATATTAATGATCCGAAGCACAAAGTTTAAAGAGTTAAAATACACATAGATCGAAGCAAGTTGCCAAGCAACTCAGAAACTAACAAACATGGGGGCAATGTGCATCTAGTGCCAGACTTCTCTTATTTATTTCCCTGATAAGGTATGTGTTAGCCATCTAGTCAAGGTGTCCAACATCATATTGTTCTGATTAAGAAAGATGAACGACCATATGGGACAAGGCATGAAGAAGCAATATTTTGTCATTGATAATTCCTATTGTATGCAAGTCTATAGGACGTAGGAGAAAGCTAAATGAGGTACAAATTGGGGGTTCACAGAACCCCCACAGATACCTCACAATAAGGGGGGTGGGTGGATTTTTTTTTTTTGCTATTTTTTATTACAATGGGTCCCTCATGGGGCCCATTCATGTGAGTATAGGTAAACAATCTGTGAAGCAATTTTCTGTATATTTAGCTTTCTCTAGAAACAATCTACCACAGAAAAATATCCTTGTTTACTTTTTTCATATTTATTTTTTAAATATGATTCAAATTGTGTATGAGATATATTAAAATAGAATATAGAAAAAATAATAGTCGAGGCAGGTTTGGGGTTGGGATAGTGACCATGTGCCGCCATGATTCCCCAGGGAACGGGACCATTGGGGATGGGGGCGAGTAATTTTCTCTCCTCTAAATTTAGACCTGTTTGATTCCAATTTTTTTTTTAAATACATTTTTTCTCCATTCTTTTCAATCACACGTTTTTAAATAAAATAATATTACACACAATTCAAAAAATTTACCATCAGTTTTAACCACACATTTTTTTGTCAATCAACTCTTTCAAAATGCTTTACATATAAAATTGGGCTCAAACGGGCCTTTAATAGAGATTTCCAACAGTTTTTTGAGAATCAATTGTGGAATTTGGATTCACGCGGCGTCCATCGTAGCGTCCCAGTCCTTCTGTTCTCCTCTTTGATAAAAGCACACGACATATACATACACCTATACATACAGCTTTTCCTCTTCTTCATTTTTATCTTCACGAGCTTAATCGATCGCAGAAAATGTCGTATGACTATCTCTTCAAGTACATAATCATCGGAGACACTGGTAATTCTCCTTTCAGTTCTTTCTTTCGTTTTTAATAAAAAACCCTAGGTATTTATCGATACAGAGTAGTTAGACAGGTATATGATGCTTGATTTTTTGTGTAGGTGTGGGGAAATCTTGTCTTCTGTTACAGTTCACGGATAAGAGGTTCCAGCCAGTGCATGATCTCACAATCGGGGTGGAATTCGGGGCTCGTATGGTCACCATCGACGGCAGGCCCCTTAAGCTTCAAATTTGGGACACTGTAACTTACTAAGTGTCTCTTGTTTTTATCGTTTGATTTTTCTTTCTTGTTATCCTTAGTCGTTCGTTATTATTTATAGTTGGTTACATTTATATGTCCCTTTATCTGGGTTGTTTTATATTTTTTCTTTCAACTTTAGAATTTTTGGCATTTAATTATGACCCGTGCTAAATTTAATTATATGCTTCTCCTGGCTCGATTGACCTCCAAGTGGAAGCACCCTAGTGTTTTGGATGTTGAAATTGATTATTCTGTTTCTGGACTTTATGCTCAAAGAGGATCCTTTTGCCTGGATGTTAAGAATTAGCTTGATTCAATTTTGTATGTTTGGAGATGAGTTTTTTCAGCAGCGGAGACTAAAGTCCATCCCCAGACTCTCGTAGGTTTTGAGATGTTATGCTGTATGCCATGACAACCGCAACAAAATCCCTTTGAATTTGCCTTGCTTTTTTCCTGGGGAAGGGGGAAGGGTTACAGAAGTAAAGGATAGGTTGATATTGACAATCATTTGGTTGATTTTAACTCCACATTAATTCATTGTCCAAAAAGAAGTAGTAGGCCTTCAATGAAATTGTCGTGATATGTTTATGCCGTGCATCACAGAGTTGGGGAATGATTCTCTCCACGGTCATGCTAATGTTGATCTGCTTTCCTGTTTTGCTGAAACCTGCATCTTCCCTGAAGTTAAGCACCTAATGTACATTTTTATTCTAGAACTGAATTTTGATGGGGATTTGAACATTTGTTGGTACACGGAGCATGTTATTGAAGGTCTCTACTTTTATGTTTCATTAGCATTTTTTGTTGATTAGGAGGAGATATGTTTGTTCTGCTTTCTTATTACCGTTGATTAGGAGTAGTAGTAATAAAGACTGTGAATGAGCAAAATAGTTTATCTTGGGTTATGGAAAGAAATTAACTTTTCGAGTAATACTTTGCAAATGCCTTAACGAATGCATCACTGAGAAGTAAACTGAAGCAGTTGGTTTCTGCTATGATGGATGAGATTGAATCTTTGTAGAAGTGGAAAACACTGATATTGAGCGGTTTAATTCTTGGAGTCAAATATAAACACATCATGTTGGAGATTGATCTAAGTCTGATGTTGTACAGCTGTGTTTGAGAGAATCAGTTTTGATGCTTGGTTCTCTGGTTATGAACTAGCTCTTCAGTTCTCGACTTTCTTGTTGGTCTTCTAATTCAATTGATGATTAAACTTTAGTGTAGATGAAATTGATTTTTTTTCAGACTGCATATGCAATTGGATGTTGAGGCTTTATTCTCCTACTTTTAACAAACTTCAGATTCCATCTAGATGCACATTTCGCTTGTTTTTAGGTTTCAACATACCCATTTTCTATATTTATATCTAACGCTTCTCTACTTGTATTTTGGAAACTTAACGCTTTCTCTACTAAAAATGAACTTCTAGTAAGGACACATTTAAAAAATATTGACTGTAAATAAGATGCTGATTTCTTGTGTTCTGCAAACCTCGCTTCTTATCCTATGTATTCAAAATTTAACTTATTTTTCTCATTCAAATCTTTCAGATCCATCACTAGATCATATTACAGAGGAGCAGCTGGTGCACTACTTGTTTATGACATAACCAGGTAGGTTAGTGTATGTTATGTTCTTTCCCCTTTTCATGCTTAGAATGAACTCCTGAATGATGTTCAGTTTTATGATCTTTCGTAGTACTCTGGCTGCTTTCATTTTTCTGACAAGTGAGATTCCATACACCTTTAGGAAACATTACACACAACTCATTCCTATAATGCAAAAATAAGACGATTTTACATCAGAAGTTGCCTACATGGGCTAAGGTTTTTGGAGCTATGGCTGACTGTGATGCACTGAGCTTATGTACAGCCTTGGTGTTCACTCCTGCGTGATTGAAAGGATTTGGTCAGTGGTTACATAGTTAATAATATTGGTTGAGCAATCATATTTATTTAATAAATTCATTTTCTTTTAACAGAGAGATCATATGGACATCAAGCACTTTTTTGGTTTTTTGCAAGTCCAATGGACAGCGTCTTGTCATACAATGTGCGATTTGTTTGCTAGTCAGGTGTACTCTGGATTGAATTTCAGTAGAACAGAAATAGGAATATTTCATGACATTTGCTCATCTTCTTATGTCAAAACTCTGATTTCCCTGTGTTTTAAACTTTTAATAATCTCATAGGCCCAAGTTCTTATACAATGTGAATTCTCTTTTTCTTTACGCTGGGAAGATGTTATATTGTCTAGGAGAGAGACATTTAATCATCTGACAAGCTGGCTGGAAGATGCTCAGCAGCATGCAAACCCAAATATGACGATCATGCTTGTAGGAAACAAAAGTGATCTTGCTCACCGAAGAGCTGTAAGCAAAGAGGAGGGAGAACAGTTTGCCAAAGAAAATGGACTGCTATTCTTGGAAGCATCTGCTAGAACAGCCCAAAATGTCGAGGAGGTGCCATATTTGAACCAAAATCTAATGAAACCTTTCTTTCTTCATGTAACTTCTGCATTATAGAAGCCTTTCTATCCAACCTGAATCTCTATTTCATCTTATATGTATTTTTCATGTACTCTTTTGCAGGCATTTACAAAGACTGCGGCAAAGATACTTCAGAAGATCCAGGAAGGCGTATTTGATGTATCCAACGAGGTAAGGTTAATGTCGTTCTTAGAAATAAACTGGACAACACTCTGTTACTACACAGTTCATCTTGACCCTGTTATCTGAAAAATGAATATTTCCATCTTTGTTTGTAATGGCTTTTCACATTATTTGACCTACAGAGCATCTTCTCTTTATTCAACTATCAAGTAGGTAAACATTGGTGGTTTGGTAATTAATCTGATTAACTCAGCCACGTAAAAGAATGGCATGGCTTCATATAAGCTCGTAAGCCAATATAAGATCATGAGATAGGCTATGATGAATTAGCATTTCCTGTGTGGCTGTGCATGTAAAACCTTTATGGTATCTTCATTGTTTGTGCAACTGTGTTGGGGTTGTGGGGATTAATGATTATCGATGTCTTCCTTTGAAATTGAAGATTCTTCTGTTATTTTGTTATGGAAGAACTCTTCCCATTTATGCTATACTTTTGGTTGGGATTGCAGTCATCTGGCATCAAGGTTGGCTATGGACGGCCCCAAGGTCAACCTGGGGCAAGAGATGGAGCAGTTGCACAAAGAGGCGGATGTTGCAGCTAAAATGTAGATGTACCAATGTATAAGATTGTGTATCTTGTCTATTGTGCTTGTTGGATTTGATGAATGTAGTATCTTTGACCAAACCTTTTAAGATAAATGTGAAAGAATTGTATAGTGCAAGTTGCACTTGAAGTAAACCGACCGATATACACCTGTATATAATCCACCTAGTTTATGGGCTGCTAGCATTTATTTGCAAGTTCTTCGAGATTGATCAGTATTGGTTGTTCAACGTAGTATGTATGATAAAGCTCTTCTATTTATCCTCCGGCACAAACTCAAAAAGTTCGTTGGATAAACTTTCTTTTTAAATCCATGTTGCATATCCTTCATGTTGGCTTTGATTATTGACCCCGTTAATATGTTTTACCAATGGCATTTAGCTGTCAACTCAAAATCCAAAAATTTCAGATTGAAACCTATTTTAGAGACAGATATTGGTATATTAAGGTCATGTGATGATGCTTTATGCAATTTGCCGTAAGAATAATGCTATCCAACATGAGTGGTGAACATGGGATCCATATGGACGTTGGTTATTATTACATCATTTAATAAAGTTGTAATGTATTTTTATTTGTTATTTGTTGAACAATGTAACATTGAATCTAGGATAGGTGCTTATTACCAAGATGAATAGCATTAATCTTGCCGTAATGTCATATAAGTATTAGAATGGATTTTGTTTGGTGCATCAATTTCTAGAGGAAGTAGCCACAAAAGAGTGGCATTTTGAATTCAACATGAAATTGAGCAAATTGAAATAAAACCCGAAACTTGAACACAAATAGATCCATGATCCATCAACAAAATAAAATATCAAATTACAAAACTTTTCGGGTATTTGGTCATTCCAATGTTTAGAAACAATGAAATAATGAAAATGTACTAAAGGGGATGATTTCCTATATGGAAGGTCAAGCCCATACATTATAAAACATACTCCAATCCAAGCAACCAAAGGTACTGCATTTAAAAAAACTAGCAAACAGAACACTTAGTAGAGCTTTATTCGGGTTTGGATCGGAATCCGGCACACTGGACAACGCTTGAGGTCTTTCCCGCAATCACAGCATGTCTGACAAAAGAAAAAAAAAATGTAAAACGCAATCTCACCCTCCATATATTTTCTCAAATATAATGTGATGACACACCACACAGATTTACCTGATGCCCACAACCAAATGCCAAGTCCTGCGGGTTACGAAGGCAAATCGGACAAATCTGCACAGGAAAACAAGTAATAGGTTGAGATGGGGTTTGAAATGGGAAGACACGGCATGTTGTAGGTAAAGAAGCGTGATTCCTTGCTTTTTTAAATAAATAGAAGTGTGTACACGTATAAATGTGAAGTATGTACCTGATTTTCATACATAATGCTCGGAGCAGACGGAGCTGCTTCAGCAGCGCTATTTTGGTTGTAATATGAACTCGGGCTTTGCTGGAAACTAGGTGTGTGTGAGGAATTTGAACTGCGGTCTGTGGCTGAACTGTAAACAGGAGGTGGAAGAGCAAACCTCTCGGGTGCATTTCCTTTCCGACCACTAAACAAATGAATAGCAAATGAAATAAGAATTCACCCACACCTACATATTCCCATGCACTGTACGCATAAAGAATAAAAAGCGAAGGAAATATTATATTACCCCAACAAATTAAGCTCCACTGATGCTTTATATTGAGATGGAATTTCCATCAATGCGGCAAGAGCAAATTCAGTCTCTTTTCGAGACTGCGGTGCATCTTTAGACATAATTTCTGTAAAATTGACAAACTGAAAAACGAAAGAATTCCGATAGAGTCAAGCATGCCACATGTATCTAATAAATTCACCAGCTTGTTTGAAAAAATAATACAAATGAATTACTAAACTAACCTGGAAGTTATCAAAGTCCCGAGCAGGGATGTTATCATCAAATTCCTTCATTGTGTCCCAGGGGCCATCTCCAACCCCAACCAAAATAATTGACAAAGGAAACTTGCTGTTGTAACGACAAACATCAAGACTGCGATACACTTATGAAATAAAAAAGGGATAACCACAAGATGTACCTTGCTTCAACAATTGCTTGTACGGTTTTCTGCTCCTGTGGACTTAGCTGACCAGGTTCAGTATCAACACTTCTGGTTACCTATGGAGATGAACCAAGTTGATGGAACGGAGTAGAATTGACACAACAACACAAAGAATGTCTACCATTGCATGAAATACAACTATCTAAGCATTACATTAACTTCATTCATAAAAGTTTGAACACAAAAATTTTTGAAAACAAGTTGACATTATGTATCATAAAGTTAGAACCATGTTCATATGTATTACTATTTACTTCCAAACAATCAGATGTCTAGTGAAGAAAGTACACACAAAGTGGAATAGAACGAGAGGATATTATTGAAATCGTGATAATGGCAAGAGCATTATTTTGCATGGAGTTGGGAAACATAATTTTACAATTAGTTGTCTATTCGACAATGAGAGATGACATTGAAATGATTGAATAAAAAATATATAGCCAGTAAAGCCAATGCCTATATGTTTAGCATCTTACAATTAAACAACTTGAGCAGATTAGAGTGACCTGAAGAATGCAAAAAAGAATTTGTAGTCGACAACTTAAGCTTTTAGACAAGGTGCATCAACATGGGTTTTCCTCTTCATATTCCAAAACCCGAAAATCTTAAGAATAAAATACCTGCCCATCCGCGATAATCAGTAAAACATGGTATTGCCCTCCACTCTGCTTGACAATAGACATGGCCATTTCAATAATAGGAGCGAACGACGTGGGACCTGCAGCAAAGAGAAAGAACCTTAGCTATAAATCGAATTAGCATTAAAAAACTAAACTAAACTCATAGGCTTGGTATCAAACCTGCCAGTTTTAGATGAGGAACAATTTCTCTGTAACGACTTAACACTTCTTCAAACTTACTGCAAAATCTATCTGGGTAGAAACTAAAAACATCTTGATCATGGGTTGATGCTGCCAAAATTTAAACAAAGAAAAGCAGGTTACAATTTTTATGATTTAAAATGCTAAGTTAAAAAACTTGAGAAACAAGAACACAATTTTATCATAAAATACCATCTCCAAATCCAAAACAGGGGATCAAATTATCCTCGTCAAAAGCCGCCAAGGTCTTCCCAATAATTGATATAGCTTGCTCGTAGGGATTCCAACCACTTCCAATATGATGTAGGCTTTGACCATTGTACGATAACTTACCTAAACATGGATCCAAGTTCAGTTTATAGAACCTCAATTTATAAAGCATAATTAATCTATCTAAAAAAAAGGGTGCTTAACCTGTCCATTCATTGCTCTTAGTGAAATCAATACCAATAATTAAGTTGGAAGAATCAAGGCCAGCACGTCTAAGAGCTTCAGTCACCTATAGTAAACAGTGTTAGCATTTCAAGCTTTTGAGAAAGCTTAAATGCTAAATAGACTCGAGAAAAAAGCCATAAATGGGATTTTTCTTTAAAAAAAAAAAATTACACAATGATGCAGTAAAAGAAGAAGCGCCTATGCACCAAAGCATTCAAGAATTTTATATGAAGTTCAGTAATTCTACAAAATACACATGATAAATAGTTTCAATTGCCTTGTGTATTGAACATATTTTTCCTTATCTTGTATGATATTATGTCAACATCCAGAAGAGATTCAATTCTGTTTGGGCATGCCAAGGAAATTGAATTCCAATTACAGGACAAGATAGAACAAGAATTTCACTTACCAATTGCACAAGCTAAGACATTCACTAGATAAAATCACATAAAATTGTACACCGGATTTTCACAAATAGATGCCAATGAGTATATTACATACCTCCGACAGAGAATTATAATTGTCGGCAATCCTTGAATACCTCCTGTCGAAATTCTTTAGTGGTGGCAGTTGAGATGGAGCCCCATAAGTTTGAGGACGAGTTCCAGTAGTTTGAGAAGGAGCATAAATCTGATTTGGTGGCGGATATCCCGCTGGATGAGCACCAGTAGTTTGAGAAGGAGCATAATTTTGATTTGGTGGCGGATATCCCGCTGGAGGAGCTCCAGTAGTTTGAGAAGGAGCATAACTCTGATTTGGTGGCGGATATCCTGCTGGACGAGCTCCAGTAGTTTGAGTAGGAGCATAATTCTGATTTGGTGGCGGATATCCTGCTGGATAAGGATGCTGCACGGGATAATTCTGAGCATATTGTGAATATGATGACTGAGGAGGATTTCCGTGCTGCCATGGAGATGAAGAACTAGACTGAAATGATGAAGATGGCCTCCCACTCTCCGCATTACTAGGACTTGAACTATTGATCCCCATCAAATCAAATTATCTGCAAAATTCTTTTAGTAGGCGAACCCCTTTCCTCTACAACACAGAGATTTAAAGAAACCTGTCGAAAACAATATCCCCAATTCAACAGAAAACCCTAATTACTAGTCCTGACAAAAAGAAGAATTTGAATAAATCGTTCAAATCAATTACCAAAAAATTCAATAAAACGGTAATTTTATGATCAAGATAAAACTCCTCCAAATTTCTTATTAAGATGTGGAAAATATATCTGATATGTCATATATATATTTCCATGCATGAGAAAATTCAATGAAATATTCATTTCTCGGTCAAAGAACTCGTAAAAGTTATGCCGACTCCACAGGAGCAACTACTCTACGTTTTCCAAAATATACTAATGTAAACTGACGTGTGGATATAGATTTCCAAACAAGTCAAATTTAAATATATATATATATATATATACACACAGAAAAGATAATGCAAGAAAAGTAAACTGAATGATATCTTAGCCAATAAGCAAAAACCAAGACATCCAGTGCAATCAAATCACCTCTGTTTTCCACTGCCAACGAAACCCCAGAAATTACTGGCTAGTTTTAGAATCAATTTCAATTGATTCTGTTGCAGCAACTTTTTCTCTAGTGGTCGTTGAATTAGAGGATCAGAATCTTCTGAAAAACAGAAATGACCGATGAAATGGCCAAAAGGAGTTTAACTTTCTTAATTACTTTTTAAAGCTTTCGTTCAGATCGTTAATTAGTATTTAATAATTATTTAGTTTGTTGGACAAACGGGTTCGGAGCATGAGCCCTTAGTCCGATCCGTTTTCTAAGTCCGACAGTAACCAGAGGGCACGTGTTGGAAACTTGGACTCTGGATCCAAATAATGAAGTGTAGTTCATGGACTCCGGTTCGAATAATATGGGATAGAATAATAGAAATATCCATAGATCAATCAATTGGGTTGGTCTTGTAAGTTCTATTGGGTTGATTCCACTAATTGCCACCCCACTTTACTTGTACCATTGAACTTTTAAAATCATTTAGGATCCGTTTGATTGCAATGGTAGTAAACAGGTGAAAAAAAAATGAATTCCGGGGAAAGTAATTACTTAGAAATTATTTTCTAGGGAATTGAAATTTAAGTGTTTTTGATTGGTATAATTTTTCACCAGGAAAATTTTTAAATTTTGTATTTATTTGACTTTATTTTACATGAAAATTGTCCATGAAAGTGATAATTTTTTTCATAATTGATTATAAAATTTGTTTCCATTGCCAAAAAGTACAAAAAAAAAACTAAATTTTTTCCTAAAAAATCATTTTTTTAATCAAAATTTAGTGTTCGTTTAACTTTGTTTTACATGGAAATTGTCAATTAAAGTGAAATTTTTTTTTACAATTGACTATGAAATTTGTTTCCATTATCAAAAAAATAAAAATAAAAATAAAAAACAGCAACATGGAATTCATTTTCCCACCAAAAAGATGATAAAACCAATTCCACCAAATCATGAAATTGGCACGTGTGAGGAAATTGTGGAAAAAGTTTTCTAGGGAAAATTTGTACCATCAAACATAGCGTGGCAAAAAAGTTCGGAGGTTATGACAGCTCGAGCTCGGCTCGAAAAAAGCCCGAGCTGGGCTAGGTGGCTCGAGCCGAGCCCCACTTTGGGGAGTAGGCTCAAGCCCTGGCCGGCCTGTGGCCCGGGCTGCTCCTATAAAAAAAAAAAAATTTGGAGGCAGCTGCTGCAAGCTGCCTGCAGGCAGCTAAGAAAAAAAAACCAAAAAATTCGAGCTGGCTAAGGCTCGGGCCGAGCCTCATTTTTTTTGGTCGGGCTCGGCTCGACTCGAGCTTTTTTTTTCAGCTCGACTCGGCTCGTTGACATCGCTAATCAAACATGCCAAAAGATGGAAAATGGAATTTGAATTCTATTTTCCATGGAAAATATCCCCTATCAAACACACCCTTAGTTTACTTCACCAAGAACCATGCTGCATATACTGAATTTTTTTACAAGATCCCTTACCGACTACTCACAATAGAGGGGTGGGGACCACATCCTGGGATTTTTTATTCACGCGGGACTCGCGTGCATGTGAGAGGGGGTAAACAATTTGGTAGAAATGTTTATCTACAAATATCTTTACCCCTTCACCAAACATTAAAATTCGTTTTGATTATATCATCACATTAGTCGACCATCTATTTTTTGACAAAAAGTCCTATGTTAGCGACTAAAAGATTGTAACAAACCAATTTGATGGAAAGGAGAAAGATGAGCCAATTGCAATTTACGTTCTCAATCGTGTCCTTCATCATTTACTCCATGTTCTTAATTTTTGTAATAATAGCCGATTTTCGTCCATTTAGAAATATTGGATAAAGATACGAATATAAATGATTTTCAAAAAATAATATAAATCTAGCTAGCACCCATCTAAGTTGTAGTGAGAGTCCACTCAAATTTTGTAATAAATCAAATATGCATATTAATTTATTGATTGTGGGCGTCGTTATTGTGCATCAACATAAAATGAAACATTTCTTTCGACATATCAATGTAGAATATCATCCGTAGACGAGAGTTCTACATCATATAGGGTTGACTTTGAATAGTTTGCTTGTATCCAACAATATTCAGTTGAACTATTTCCGCCAGTCCTACATTTTGTCTGAGATAAGCAAGAAGGTCAACCTCTTTCAGCATATAGTTGGACTCTCGTGTCGATCCGAATGATAAATGATGTAGTTGTTTGTTGAGAGATCAAGTCTCCGCATTAAAATATCGATGATTTTGGTTGATACTTTTGTGCTGCTGCTGGATGCAATTTGGAAATGCTGTCATGCTTACCTTTGGAGCTTAAAGGATTCTGATTTCTTTTATTTTGAAGATGAACGAATCACACTGCTTGACAAGGATTGCTTATTTTATTTATTTAGTTCATGGAGAGTACTTGTACTTGTTTGATGTTTAGACACTTGCGTATATGAGGTTACATCAAGGTGCTAGGGGCGGGAAAGGGTTGATACAGAAAATTATGCAATTTTTTGGGAGATTCCATCACAAGACTAGCAACATTGTGTTAATTTTCAAATAGTTACACCATGAATGCTTAATCTTTCGAATCTTGACCCTTTGAAAATCACCTCCCCGTTAATCAGAAAACGCACAAAGACAAATTTCATTTTCTTTATTTTTTGCGAATATGTAGGAGCTGTTTCTTTCATTTTAGTTACAAAAGTAGTAGTTGATCTACAATACTCGACATCTTTTGCAGGTGTGAATCATTTTTAACTTACCCGCGTACCTATGACCTACTTCATGCATGGTCAATCTTCTCAAAGATTGAGGCATTTGGTTGTAGCTCGGAGGATTTGCTGATTGAAATGGACCGAATGCTAAGGCCTGAAGGGTTTGTCGTCATAAGAGACAGCCACAGGCCTTCTGTCATAAACCACGTTAAGGAAATTCTTGGCTGCCTTAAAGCGGAATGGATAGATATCGGCGGTGGAACCCAGTGCTGATGGTCTTTCCTCGAGTGAAGAATTGCGAGAAAGAAATTGTGGGAGGATAATAGAGAGTTGTGAGTCTGCTTACTCTAAAGGTATATAATTCTCTTTTCAGTAATTAATTTTTTAATGGAAAATGATCTTTCTTTCACAACTCTTTCTGTCAAAACGGAAAAAACCTCATGCAGATCTAAGCTCTCGTAAGTGCCCTTCTTCCTGTTGCAGTGACTTTAGCTATTTCGTCCGGTGCCCCAAATTCCCGCACATAACCATGTCCATGTCTATCATCTAATAACTGCTCTCGATAATTCTGGCCTCTAGTCTAGGTAAGTCTCATCATTGACATTAACCTAAAAATTTGACTTGATTGTTAGAGCATGATGTGATGTAGTAATTGGTATGATGTTCATGTATGTTTGAGTTCGAAATTTTAGCAGGTCCTTCCTGTCTAGACTACAATTTGTCCGTCTTTACCATAAATCTTGATGTGTGTAAAACATGATTCTTTAAGGTAGAATTCAGCAACTTAGATCAATCAAAAATCAGTTGAACTGGAGCCTTTATTCCAACTATTTTTGCAACTGATTTCATTTGGAATCTTCAACTATATGGAGCCTGAGTTAGTTAGGTAGTTAATAATCATTTTTTATACATATCTGTGTCTATAAATACCTGCATTAGGAGTGATGAAAGGTTGCAACTCGAGAATGAGAGAAATTCTGTAGTAGGAAGTGGAGATTGGTGAGGAAAATCTGAAATTCTTCCACTGATTCATATTGTATGAATGAAAAGTCTTGGGAATAAAAGATTGAGGAAGTTACCTTCCTGTTTTCAATCTGTTCTCTGTGTTTTCTTCTTGCTGGTTTCAATTTTATTTCTCTATTGGTTTATTCCTCTGTTTCTGCTGCATTTTCTACTGTTTTCTGAATCTGTCTTCTTCTCCACATCAATTCTGCTGGTGCATTCTGTACTGCCTGACATTCTATATTAAGTTTAGACTTAGAACAAGCCATTACATCCGCAACAATGCACATGGCGACCAATACAAATTAGTCGTCATGAATACTCTTACGGTCATTTTTGGTTTGGTTAACAATGTCATAAATTTCTGCCGAAGCGCGGCCATGTTATAATGTTACATATCCACTATTTTGCATATATACTTCAAGAAATGAATATTCTAGCATGAAATGCTACTCAGATGTTTATCATTGACCGAAGCCCCCCATTGTCATTGCTCAGTATATTGTATATAACACACTTTTGGCAACTGTAGAGTCGTCTTTTTTGTGTTTTGATGTGCAATTCCTTCATTTCTATCTCGAGCGATATAATTTTTTACAATTCTGAAAACGGCTATTCCAATCTTCTTGTTGAACATCATTGATTTAATTAGAAAAGTAATAAGATATTGGTTTGTGGCATATTCATATTTGTGCTATAGCCTGACCTTTTTCGTGATAATGTTAAAAGACAAATTGTTATGCCTTTGTTCATTGTTCTAATAGCTATTTTTAGTAATTCTTAAGTCGACCAGATTTGGAGCTAGTACTAGTCTATGTGGTAGTGGACTCCACTACCTCATCATCTAATGCATTAATGTGCATCCCAACTCCACTGGATGATGAGGCAATGAGAATCCACTGCCACACAAACTGATACTTATCAGTGCTAGATAACATTACAATTACGGAAAAAGTTGTCGAGACAGTAACAACACAAAATAAAATTGCAAAGGTCAGACAATGAGTCTTCATTGATAACTAAATACTCCAAGAAACAATGTCACGTTGATCAAGAAAATGTGCATAAACACGCAAACACAATTAAGGGCGGAAAAAAAGTAACTTTAAGACATCTTATAAATCCCTAGCATATATATATATATATATATATAGTTGAGTGCTAAAAAGTCTCTTTCGTTGCTGATGAGTTCGCTCGTTTACCCTTTCTTTGGAAGTCAGGAATTGTGCATCGTAGCAGACTAAATGTTATATAAAGACATGATTTGCAAATTACTACTGATGACCATTTATCAGGCAACATCTATCTTCTTTTTCTTCTTCCTCGAGGCAAAATTACTGGGTCCAATTTCCAGGGACATCCGCTTTGTTCTGCAAGGAAAAGAAACAATGAAATGTGTGCCATGAACAAGGACAGACGCCATAGTTATTTGTGTGTTAAGATAGAGAGAATGAAATTCAAGGACATATTGGCAATCTCTTTACATCCTCTATTCATCTCCTGATCTCCCTAACAAGATCTGCACCCCCGACCTTCACCTTGAGGGCTACTCTTTTATATTCCTGCTATCACCTTACTAAATGAAGTGTATAAAAAGAGTGAAAAATGCAGTCAAATAAGAGAACATACCGTTTGGAGAGTTCCCTGGCATTGTTCTTACCTTCTTCAGCTCCTTCATCTGTTGGAGAAAACATCATCGCATTTGAAAGGAAGAGGAAGAAATATTTATTTACTAAATATTAAGGCCTAAGATTTCAGTATATAAGAAATTTCAAAAGCCACAAAACAATGATATGAATACTTCTTTAATTTGCTTCAGAATCAAGTTGGTCGAGGAATTTCTAAGGGAATTTTACAGAAAGATAGGTAGATGATTCCAATCTGATGCATCGGCTATTTTATTAATTTAAGCACCTAGAGCTCTGCAACTATCAGATGAAACAGTAAAACCTAACTCATAAAGCACTTAACTTGAAGGTCTCGCGAATGTGGATAAGCAGCAGTAAGATGCAAGGATACATGTTCACATAAAAATTGCTACTTTACTGCTGAAGTCGAACAATCAAGAAAAAGGGAATAATTTCTTGCCATTGCATCAGTTGTATTTGTAATATATTCGGAAAAGTAATGAGCAAAATCATGTCCTGTTCTGATGAGTTATTCAGCCTGTATCATCACAAAAGTTCAGTAGTATATTTTCCTCCCCCCCCCTCTCAAAATATCTATACTAAGGTTTCTTCAGCATTAGCCATTCTCACAGGTACTTTCACACAACAAAAATCTCATTGCACTTGTAATTTAAGCAAGCAAAATATCCACACTCAAGATTTCTCTAGCATTAACCATTCTCACAGGTATTTTTAAATAACAAAAATTTCATTGCACTTGTAATTTAAGCATATTGAGAGTTAACAATGCTACAGTGTAATATACCAGTCCAATCTACGTGAATATGTATTTGACACGACAAATATATCTTGAAGATACAGATATACCTTCTTCATCAGTACCATCATTTTCTGGCTCGCCTCCATCATCATGGTCCCAACGATCCCCGACAGGAGGCATCCATAACTCATTTTCTTCTTCCAAATCAACATCAGTCCCTATCGAATCCTCCATTTCAGCAACAACTATACCATTTTCCTCTTGCTTTTTCTTCTTCATGTTCTTCAAACCATCATCTTTATTCTTCTTTTTCTTCTTCTTCTTCAAATCATCATCTTTATTCTTCTTTTTCTTTTTCTCCTCTTTCTCCTCGCCCTTCTTCTCTAGTGGCCCATTCGGAATTTCCTTCTCAACTTCCATTTTCTCTGTTCGCATTATNATTAGAAAGTCGAACCTAACATGTTGAGGAAGCGCTTTCCATTGATATGCTTCCATATATGCTCCTCTGTTTTATTGATAGTGACTCCAGTTAACTTGCACTTCAACTTTGAACTGAAACATCACAACCACCAAAAAAATTAAATAAATAAACTTTCCCTTCTCATTAACAATTATATACATAAAACCTAAACCCTAAATCCCTTTCTTAACACTTCAAATCGCGGGTCCAAGTTAAAGTACGGGAATTCACCGTGAAACAGGGTCCTGAATGAACATGTTTAGAGGGGGCCTCTTTTTGGCAAGGGCGGAGTCGATTAGGCCTAATCTACAGTGCTTGCTTTGGCCGTAAGAGTCCCTGGCGTGCGCCAGCAGCTCATGGCCTGTCTCCACGCATTTGAAGCGCCCATTATCCAGTGGCTTGAAAGTCGGCAAGCCCAGCAAGTTTTGACCTTCCTTTACCTTGGTTGCAGTAGAATTTTCTTCCTCATTTATTTCCCCTCCTTCCTTCCTCCCCATTATGTCTTATTTAGGGCAAATTAAGTTCGGCAATGTGTGTGAGAGGGGAAGAGAAGTTATTTAGGGCAAAGTTCGGCACTGTAAGTCGGTCCTTTTGATCAAAGTCGTCAAATCTCAAAGAGCGATTTACTTGAGTCTCGGAATATCGACTAACGATTTTTGAATAGTCTATTTCCCCTACTAAAGGCATATTTGGCAAGTCTTTTAAAATGTCAAAACTTGCTTATGAGATAAGTGTCCCTTTGACGTGGCTTCTGCTTTTGCTTTTATTTAGGGTGTGTTTGTCTCTCATTATTGGGAGAAAAATAGAGTAATAAATAGTATTTTTTGGAGAATATGTGTTTGAAATTGAAAGTAAATTAAGCCCCTGTTTGTCTCCCATTATTGGGAGAAAATTATTGTAATGAATAGTATTTTTTGGAGAATGTGTGGTTGAAAATTAAAGTAATTTTATTGGTTTGTGTGTAGAATATTTTATTGGGTGAATGTGTGGTAGAGAATCTTACCATTGCAAATAATTTTTTGGAATAATGGTAGACAAACAGAGGCTTATTGTAAAAGAGCTTTTGAGAAGCTCTCTTAAAACAACTTTCTTCAAATTCAAATCCCGATTGCACCTTGAAATTCTTAATCTTGTTAGGTTCAAAGATGGCGCGTGCATCTATCTAATCTGAAACAATTGCTTGATTGGCAAGAATATGATCTCCCGAGAATTATTTGACACCTTGAAATATTATTCACACCTTAAATCATTTTTTGCATCAAAATTTTCTAATGACCAACAATACTTTAAGATATAGGAGATGCTAATGTTGATATTTTATAGTAGATTTGAAAGCGCTCCTTTCGCATGTCTCAATAGTAAAAAAAATTGAATGCAGCTACCGTTTTGAAATAACATGAAACAAGTTCTTTTGCGTGCTCATATAAATAGGAATTACATTTTTTTTTCTCGACCCTAGTGGAGAAAGCCTCTTTCAAAAAAGCTGATTGTTCAATATTGTTTATAATTAACTAGAGGTTGAGTAATAGATTATTGAATAAACCATTAATATTGTTACGACTTATAAATAGGATCACCATGTGGCATCATATTTGAATGGTGGGACCAGCCCAATTGATTCAGGATGTGTTTTCCTGGCCTCTAACGTGTCAACCGAGGCTCGGAGCTTAGCCGAGGCCCTTGTTCCGAGGCCATGCACTATCTGAGGCCTAGGGCACCTCCACTCACTATCCGAGGCTCTTCAGCAGTTATCGATGGCCCATATGTGGAGATTTGCTTATGATGAAGATCTTTAATTTGAATGATTGATGTGACTTTTGTGTAAAATTTATTTGTATCTTGTCTTGTCAATGTAAGAGTATTTAATGTCTTATAAAGCTAGGAGAGTCAATTTGATGGCTAGGACTTGATATCTTGGCCGAGGAGATGGCGCCACATGTAATTTGATACAAATGTCCTTATTTCATTTGTAACACTATAAATACCTCCACCATGTAATACAAAAAGGTTAATGAAATTTTAAATATTTGGAGCAATATTATTCTCTCTTTTATCAGCATATTTCTACTATAAATCTTGTTCTTTATCGATTGACTTTTTATACAATCGTGTTCTGTTTATTTTGCTGGAGACCCGAACGGAGACGTCTCGTATCGTTGAGCTCCTCCCACGTTCAGATTCTGGAACCACCCTGACCGTCGATCGGCATTAACGTATTGAATTAAGCTTACGTGTACACGAGTGAGCTCGACATCTGTTGGCAACATTTTTTGGGGTCAACAAATATCATTTCTTCATCTACACTATTTGAAATTTGGATGATCCATACAATTCAAAAGCAGTGGAAAAGAACAATGTTCTGCAGGAATAATGTAGCCTCTTTCTTTGAAAACTAGAAAGTAGAAACTGAAGCGAAAAGTGCAACCATATCACACATGGTTTGCATGAAATATTTCTACATTTTTCCAATTTTTGTCATATTGTCATTCACATTGATTTATAGCCTTATTTGACGAATTTGGTACGTTGAACTGAAAGGACAAACAACAACATGTCACTCATGTTCAATTATAAATACCAAACATGCCATTACGTTTCAGTATAAAAGAGAAGGGTTAGTTTTTTGGACTTCATAATTAAAATTAAGCGATCTCTACAAAGAAGAATGGAGTGTGCAAGAACGGTGTTTTTTACACTTGTACTTTCACTAGCCTGGGTCAGGGGTGCCGAAGAAGCATGGATCCATGCAGCGCCACCATGTGATTTCCCGGCAACGTACAACTTTGGTGACTCGAATTCAGATACTGGTGGAGCATCAGCAACATTTGGACCCATTCCGCCACCCTATGGCCAAAGTTTCTTTCGAAGGCCTGCAGGAAGGGCTTCTGATGGTCGTCTTATCATAGATTTCATCGGTAAAAAAAACTAATCCTACAGTTTTTTTAGTATCATCTAATTCTCCTTACCCATCATGCCGTAAGAGTCGTATCAAGTAGTGTTACAAGTTTATTGATTCAACTATATTACACAGCTGAGCACTTGGGAATGCCACATTTGAGTTCATATCTGGATTCCATTGGTGCAAATTATCGACATGGTGCAAATTTTGCTAGCGGAGGATCAACCATCCGAAGGCAGAACGAATCCATATTTGAGAATGGTTCAAGTCCCTTTTCATTGGATATCCAAATCGCTCAGTTTGATCAATTCAAAGAGAGGACCAGTGAACTCTATCGTCAGGGTGATTACAGCAGCCACCGATACCAACTGTAATATGAATTCCCACTCCTTGATCTTGATAAATAACATTTTTCTTCGATATATTTTCAGATAAAAATTCATACGACATGAGTAAACTTCCTCGACCCCGGGAATTTTCAAGGGCTCTCTACACATTCGATATTGGTCAGAATGACCTTGCTACTGGTTTTGGAAAGCTTATTTCTGTACAACTAAAGGCTGCAATTCCGGACATTGTTAATCAATTTGCTATGGCAGTTACAGTAAGTTCATCTTTGAAATCGATTTCTCGTATTCCTTTTTTTTCCAATATTTACTAAACGTTGGGTGTGATTTACAGCATTTGTATCAACGAGGAGCAAGGGCATTCTGGATACATAATACTGGACCAATTGGTTGCTTACCAGCAGCAGCATTTTACATCCAAAACCCGAAGCCTGGTTTTCTTGACAAATATGGCTGCATCAGGGCTCAAAATAAAATGGCTATTGAATTCAACCGACAACTTAAAACCCGAGTTACGAAACTCAGGCAGGAGCTTCCACATGCTGCACTGGTCTATGTTGACACCTACACCGCAAAATATCACTTAATCCGCAAAGCCAAGTACTATGGTCAGTAATTCTCGGAAGTTGTCGATTGGCCAAGGAAAAAAAAAAGGAACAAAAGAAGAAAACATGATTTGTGTGTCTCTCTTCAGTTACAACATTAGTATCAGCTACTTTTTAAACCTGGTCTTATGCTACTATTTCGTGCAGGATTCATGGACCCGACAAAAATCTGTTGTGGGCATCACGAGAAAAACATTAACGTTTGGTGTGGACAAAGATCAATCATAAATAACACCGAAATTTTTGGTGGTTCCTGCAGCTCTCCATCGACATATATTAGCTGGGATGGAGTTTATTATTCTCAGGCAGCAAATCATTGGATTGCCGATAATATTCTGAATGGCTCCTTTTCTGATCCTCCAAAACCGATTGACCATGCTTGTCTTAAGCACAAGATGTAAAATGTTGACGAATTAATGTTTGTAATTTCGAATTTTCGGAAGTGCGTGTTGTAAGAATCTTGAAAATCAATTAGCCTTGTAATCGAATTAGTATCATTATTACTTTGTTGTTTAGAACAGCAACTGTTTGAGAAGATGCAATGCAAGCATGATGCATTAGGCAGGCTCTATAGAACTGTCTAATTTCATCCAGTCCAACGCACCAAAAAGAAGTAGAAATAACAGAAAAGTTGCATTTAACTCAATACCATTGCAGAAAATTAGGAATGGCAAAAAAACCCGACAAACTCGATATCCGCGGGGCCCGCCCCGAACGGGGCAGGGATAACCCGCTTAATCGGGTATTTGGAGTGGGAACGGGTTTTGCCCCGGGGGGGGGACGNAATATGAGCAATAAAAATAAATTATCAAAAACAAAAAAAAAAAATTTAAACGGGGAGTCAACGGGGCAAGGGCCCCGCCCTGCCTTAAACGGGTAACGGGGCGGGGATGGGGCAAGGAATTTCTTAGCGGGGCGGGGAGGGTCACCCTGCCCCGTTGCCATCCCTACAGAAACTTAAGTGATGTAGGGAGATGGAACCAATTTTTTCGAAATCTATAGCTATTAGAAGAAGCACAATCAAACCATGTTCACTTAGGATCAAGTCTCAAAATCCACCTAAAGCATTATTTCTCTGGGCTCTACGTGGAAGATTCCCTTACAAAATAGGCTCACTCTCAAATTCAAGTGATCATTCTTCCCACAGATTTGAACACGAGACCTCCAACTATAGTTATAGGAAAAGCATAATCTAGTCATATATGACCTAGGATCAAGTCCCAAAGTCCACCACAAGCACTATCTGTTTGAGCCTTACATAGAAAACTTCCTTACGAAATAGGCCCTCCATGTTCAAGTTATGCTCCGTGTCATCAAGTGTGGCTATACTCAAATTTGTAAATCTTGATTTGACTACACCAATCAAACTGAACTTAATGGAAATGTAGGTGTCCATTACGTGTTAGTGATCAATATCTCGTCTAAAATCTTAAGCGATAAGTAAAACAATGCACTCCCTCTCGTGTACTCATCCCTCAAAGTAGTTATATGAATAACAGTTGGACTTGAACTAATGACATTTATCTAATGATATTATATTAAATCAACTCATTTAACGAGAGCATTTCTATAGCTAATTACCACACTGCTCGTTGTGTATGGAATGTGGCACTATAAATGAGATAATATTACTTTTTCCAAGTGAACGATGAGTATGAAACCAAACTTTCTTTGTCAAACATACTTAAAAAGAGGATGACACTTGGTTTTCAGTTTGAAATGTGTACTTTTTTGTTTGTCACGAGTTTCAGCTTTTTTAGATTTAAACAAAAAAAAAACCGTTGTCTATGCCTCAAACCACAGATAACAAAATGCCTCAATTAATTGACAAAGGAAATGGATGATGGATTCAATCTAATAGTGCAAATCATAATAATTAATTGTAGAAACTGTATGAGAATTACAAAATGGAATTATTAGTATATATAAATATAATCCATTAATGGATAAGTGCAGCACGTCAATTCAACAAATCTAATTTAATTTGTGGGACCTACCATAAACTTATCCACCAATAAAATGATGTGATATGTCAGATAAGTAACGGTGCTTAGTAGATTATTGCTCACTTGAATTATATCACCAACAAAACCAGTTTTTGATCACTCGTTATATTTTTGCCAGTTCCAACGATCAAAATATATTGGAAATTCTTGTTGTGATGAAGCTGATCACCTGAGGTTACCATATCTGAGTGCATACTTGAACTCCATTGGAACCAATTTCAGTCATGGTGCAAACTTTGCAACATCGGGTGCAACCATTATGAGACCAAATGAAACATGGTTCGAGACTTGGGCCAGCCCTTTCAATCTTGAAATCCAAGTCGAGCAGTATATTCAGTTTAAACATAGAACGGCTTATTTGTACAATCAAGGTCATCCCAAATTTCAATTCCTCAAAATTTTCCAATTCCCGGTAGTAAGCTAGGTAATGTGTACTTGACAACACTGGATAATACTAAAGTTTCCAGCTTGTTCGTCTAGTACTGAATATTAAACTAATGCCAATCTATGTTTTCTTGTACTTTTGACACGAGTCTGTGTTTGTGATTTTAAGACAAGAAATTGTCCCAAAGAAGGAGGCTCCCAAACCCTGAGGATTTCTCGAAGGCTCTTTTTCTTCTCAATATAGGACAAAACAATGTTGGTGCTGGCGTTCGAAAGTCGAGTTTAGAACTTCAGCAAGCAGCCATACCCAAAATAGTCAACCAGTTTATAGCACAAGTCCGAGTAAGTTGAAATACAAATTTCGTTCTTTCTCTTCCATTTCTGATCATCAAATGATGAAGATGATCATATATATGTGGCTACAGATTCTGTAAAAAAAAGGGGCAGGGAGAATCTGGATACACAATACAGGTCCAATTGGCTGTTTACCAGTAACCATTGCTAAAGTTCAGGACCCCTTGCCTGCGTATTTTGATGAACATGGTTGTATCAAGAATCAAAACGACGTAGCCATAGGGCTCAATAAAAAGCTCGAGGATAAGATTATCAAACTAAGTATCAAGCTTTCTGAAGCCGCAATAATCTATGTTGATATGTACAGCGTTAAGCATGAGTTGATCTCCAAAGCAAAGAATCTAGGTAATCAACATATGCTTATACTTCATAGTATTTTTAGGTAAAAATTGGTAACAATGGAGAGACTTTAACGAAACCATTAATTTTCTCATGTTCATTTCAGGATTTAAGGACCCCCTTCAAAATCTGCTGTGGTCATCATGGACTTGGGTATGATGTATGGTGTGGAAATAAACGAACTGTAGTGAAGTTTATGCTGGTTCATGTGCAAATCCTTCTATGTTCATTAGCTGGGATGGTGTACACAATTCTGAAGCAGCATATCATTAGATTGCAAACCATATTGTCATTGGTTCGTTATTGGATCCACCAATCTCCATCAAAAGAACATGCCAAAGGCAAATGTGAATCCTTGAACTATTTTACCTATTAACAGTAAATAAAATTTATCTGTGATCCAGTTTTGAACCATCATTAGTTCTGGAAACGATGTATAAACTGATATATCTGTGATAACAAAACCACGATACATGAAAACAAGTTGAAGTATAGATCATCACAACAAATATCACATATTATAAGGCAGCAATGACGGTTGCGTTAATACTCTTGTATAATACTGCATATTGTCGTCCAGTCCAATCCAATACACCAAGATGAAGTGTTGATAAACAATAATAGGCTAGTCGAGTTTAACTTAATACCACCACATAAAATTAAGTTCATATTCATTTTTAACCACACATTTCAAGAAACCCACAATTTTTATCAACTTCCAATCAAATATTTCACCAACTTTTAAAAATCAAATTTTTATCCAAACCTGACAGTGGCTAAGTGTGGTGTGACTAAACTCAACCATTTGAATCTTGATTTGACTACAACAATCAAAACTTGATTTAATGGATATTGTAGGTGAGCTTTAAGAATTATAGATTGCTACTGTGTGCTACCAACTGTAAATTTGATCTATGCGCATCGACCGTCGAACAGTTTCATCTAAAACCTTGAGCGGTTAGGAAAATGATATGCTCCCTCCTCAGTCATGTATATTTTTCGACAAAGGCCAGACATGCGAGATTTAAATTAACGACCTTTGTCAATCTAAAGTTAATTATCGCACTGTTTGTCGCCGATGGACAGTGGCACTATGGATGAGATATTATTTCTTTTTCTTAGTGAACGATGAGTATGAAACCAAACTTATTTAGTGGAACCATTGTTTCATTTCACAATTAAAGTTACTATGATGAGAAAAAGAAACTACTTGTTTTTATTTATTTTTCAATGGTATCGCATGGAGAAGCATAAACCCCGTTACATCTGAAGTTATTTTTGTTAAATTTCGTTCAACACCAACAATAATCATTTGATTATAGGCAGGAAATATTCTTCCTAATAATAAATTGTTTGAAAACTGCATGAGCATTACAAAATGAAGTTATTCATAATTTCATATAATAAAAAATATTAATCATGCTTGGTGTACACTTTAGTGTGCACCCTTGTTTACATTCGTTCACGTGGCAAATTGTGATTTGACAGTTTAATATATATAATTTTTTTTCCATCCAATCAATTTTTGACAATCATGCAAGTGTCAAGCATGATGTACAATTCAATGTACAAATGATGAAGTCCTAAAAATATAATCAATTAGTGGATGCACGTGTTTGAAATTTAAAACATGTCACTCTCCTTTTCTCCTCCTGTAAGAACAATAGTCAGCTTACTACATTGCTGTAATAAACGTCTAATCTCTATATATATTTGATGTTATTCATGGGTTTTCTGCAAACAAATAATTACAATATGGAGTCCTTGAGACCATTTTTTGGTATTTCGATTTTAGTTTTATCGAAATATATAATAGCAAATGCTGATGAAAATACAATCGATTGTCATTACCCTGCAATATACAATTTTGGCGATTCAAATTCAGACACCGGAGGGATTTCTGCAGCATTTTATCCGGCAGGGTCACCTTCTGGTGAGACGTACTTCCATAGGCCAGCCGGAAGAGCCTCTGATGGTCGTTTGATCATTGATTTCATTGGTATGGAAAAATTATAATTTAAAGATGAACCATTTTTTTCACTTATTTTTGTTAGTTCTAATGATCAAATATATTGGACATTCTTGTTGTGATGAAGCTGACCACCTGGGGTTACCATATTTGAGTGCATACCTGGACTCTATTGGAACCAATTTCAGTCACGGTGCAAACTTCGCAACAGGGGGTGCAACCACTATGAGGCCAAATGAATCATGGTTTGAAACTGGGGTCAGCCCTTTCAATCTTGAAATCCAAGTGGAGCACTATACTCAGTTTAAAGAGAGAACAGCTTATATCTACAATCAAGGTCACCCCAAATTTCAACTCTTCCAGTAATAAATTTTGTAATATGGACAGATCACAGGATGATTCTAAAATTTTCAGCTCGTTCATCTAGTACTACATACTAAACATATGCCAATCGGTGTTTATTTAAACTTCTGACATTAGTACTTTTTGTGATTTTTAAGACAAGGAGTTGTCCAAAAGAAGCAGGTTACCAAAGCCTGACGATTTCTCAAAGGCTCTTTTTACACTCGATATAGGACAAAATGACGTTGCTGCTGGCATTCGAAAGTTGAGCTTCGAACTTCAGCAAGCAGCCATACCCAAAATAGCAAGCCAGTTTATAGCACAAGTCCGAGTAAGTTGCAATCCTAATTTCATTCCGTCTTTTCCTCTTCCATTTTTTATCATCAAAAAATCATGATGATCGTATATATGGCTGCAGAATCTGTACCAAAGAGGGGCAAGGACAATATGGATACACAATACTGGTCCAATTGGCTGTTTACCAGTAACCATTGTTAAAGTTCAAGACCCTGTGCCCGGGGATCTTGATGAACATGGTTGTGTCAAGAATCAAAACGACATAGCCATAGGGCTCAACAAACAGCTCAAGGATGAGATTATCAAACTGAGGATCGAGCTTTCTGAAGCCGTCATAATCTATGTTGATATGTACAGCGTGAAGTATGAGTTAATCTCCAATGCGAAGAATCAAGGTAATCAATGTACCTTTATGGCATTTGTCAGTAAAAATGGTATGATGGAGCGATTTTAACAAGCCCGAAAACTTTTTTCCCGTTGATTTCAGGATTTGAGGACTCCTTCAAAATCTGCTGTGGTTATCATGGAATTGGGTATGATGTATGGTGTGGAAATAAAGGAACTGTAAATGGTAGTGAAGTTTATGCTGGTTCATGTTCAAATCCTTCTACAGTCATTAGCTGGGATGGTGTGCACTATTCTGAAGCAGCAAATCATTGGATTGCGAACCGTATAGTCAATGGTTCCTTATCGGATCCACCAATCTCCATCAAAAGAGCATGCCATAAGTAAACGTGAATCCTTGAACTAATTTAACTATTAACAGTCAAAAATATTTATCTGGCATCAAGTTTTGAAATGACGTGTAAACTGATAAATCTGTAATATGCGAACCACAATAGAGGAAAACAAGTTGAAGTATTGAACATGGTAACGTTGAATAAATGCAGAATTTAGATAAGACAGATTCACTGGCGGTATCCTAGTGGAAGAGGAACCACCCTATGGTATGGTACCTCCCGTCGAGGCAAAAGTCCTTCCTCCTCGTCGTCGTCAAACTCCAAAACATAACTGTTAAATCCAAATTTCACGAATAAATTAGACAACCCAAAGAATTTCACAACTAGAAATCACGGAGGATTGCTTTCATTTCATTATATTGAAACGAGCGAGTGTCCTCTTGGTTGAAATTACACAATGTTTGGTACGTTAAATTAGATAGTATTGAACGATATTAAAAAGGAAAAAAAAAGTACAAATCTTGTTCATCGTGTCCAATACTAGTACCAAATACGCACCAAGTGTAAATAGATAATTAAAAAGTCCAGCAAAATAATTAAAAAATTAGAGGTAATGCTACTTACTCATCAGTCTTCTTCTATAAATTGGCAAGATCGGGAACATTGCATTACATGCATATGCAGACAACGGTTAGTTTTACTTTGATTTATGCATACACAAAGTAGTAATGAGGTATTGAGTTTCACTTTGATTTATGTTTATGCACAAAGTGATTAGTATAATATACCTTACGGGTTTGGACAACAGTTGCCTTGTACAGTGCAGTGGTTCCTGGATAGACTGCCAAAACATGTTTTCCCAGAGGAAAATCTTGAGCATTGATGAGATCAGTCCGCTTAGGAAAAGGTATGATATGTGACATGGGTAACTTGTACTGTCTGAAAGCATATAGAGAACACGAGGAAAAGACAACATTAATCAATTGAACGAACGTAATACATTAGACTGAAGGATTGTAAAAACATCAGAAATGGACCATGAAAAACAGGTGGTCTTAAAAGCCATGGAGTTAACAAATTATCGCTAAGAATTAGAATTTGGAATTCCAAATATTACATATTACAAAATTTTAGGAAGCGAATGGAAATTAGACGCTCGATTGGTAAAGCTAACTGAATGGTGAATTATACAATACAAAAGAGATTAAAGGAGAGGAATGCAACACTTTGAAGTCCAGAAAATTCTTTTCATTCATTCTCTTTCCTAATAATAGAAATTTTATGGGAGAGAAATTAGTAAACAAGTAATTAGGTGATTTCATTGGGATTTGGCCTCTGAAAGATGGACGGGAATTTTGAAACAAAAACACACGAGGCAATAAATTAAAGTATTGATATGTCTAGCTAAGTTATGTTGTGCAAACATAATTATTGATGAAATTATTTTACTTAGCCCCTGTTTAGCGTAGATTAAAATTAGATATTTAGTATATTTTCATAAAAATTGATGAAATGTGTGGTTAAAATTAATTATTGACTTTGATTAGAAATTTCAATTTGATTTTAATCCAAATCAAAGGGCTTAGTGAAAGTCAATAGATATACCTTAGGCCCAGGTATTGTGAAACCTTTACTATTTAAACTATGTTATCATAATAGTGAACTACCACTTGAGTCATGCAGCAATAGTCAGAAAGCACAATTGCAACACATTGCAAGCCAATTTTAACTATCACCAGAAATAAAAACTTTTATAGTTCAAATTGGATGTGAAGTGTTCCAAGCATGCATTGCCATGTCAAAATTGAAAGCATCGCCTTCTTTAGTAAGACAAAAGGGAAAAAGAAAGAAAAGTAGAAACATATTTTTGTAGATTCAAAAAAAAAAGCTCAAAAAGAAATCCTTAAATTGACATAGAACCAGAACAAATATCCAAACCGACAAACACTTGTAAAATTTACACAAGATAACATAGTAAAACATTTAATAAAGCAGATGTTGTTCTACAGATAAGGAGAAGAAAACACGTACTTCTGCTCACTGCTTTCCTCGTCATCACCGGGTTCCTCATCTAGAACTTCGAATCTATTAAGAAATGCATTCATAAGATGCAAATCAGATGCATTAAATGAAACAAAGTTTAATCTCCATATTCTTTTCATTTCCATCTTGTTTACCATCTGAGTTTTTTGTCATTTCTTTTTCATATGGATACCAAATATTTATCTACTGAGGTGGTATGCAGTACACTTACACTCTTGTTTCCTTGTCAAAATGGATCACTTTAACTATGACCCATTCATCTTTTTCAGCCTCCTCTTGTCTAACCCTTGCTGCTACCTGAAAAATACACAAGCTTCAAATTAAAACTCTCCAAAATAAAGAAACAAGCATGTTATCACTGCAAGTGGATTCAAAGAGAGTGTATTCTCGTGCAGTTGAAAACTTACCTGTTCACCCTTCAAATTAGCAAGAGAATCTAGGGGATTCCGCAAAGAAGGAGAAAGTCTCGTGATTTCAGAGTCGGCCTTCATTCGCTTCTTTTTCTGTTCATTACCTTCTGCTGTTTATCCAAAATCAAAATTAAATATTTACAAATAGAGGATAAAGTTAAAGAAAATAAACTACCATAAAGGAAACTTAAGCAGTAGCATATTCACTTAGATGTAGACTAAATGCATTCAAGTCTAGATCCTGTTCCCAACTTTAATCTAATTAAAAATAATAATTAATAATAGAGGTGGTACATGCTATAACTGATAATTCATATGCATCTCATTCTGTTTCATGTCTTAATTAAAGATTGAAACTCTTCTCCAAATATACATCTTTCAAAGGAGGACGATAGAAGAAAGAGGCCGGGAATAGAAATTTAAAAAAAAGGTAAATAGATGACCAAGAAACAAATTTCTAACACATTTTTATGGTGTACAGCAGTAAAATTTTATGTAGCTTAAATACAGAACTAGTACTTCTGTTAAACAATGATTGCTTGTCAGGCACAAACCTATCCTTTTTCGGTGTTGCCCCGGAGTTCCAGAAGGCATCAATGTATCTAGTTGCCCTAACAATTGATTGGAAATGCTGCAGTCAAATAAAGAAACATCTTATGTCAGAACAAATATGTATCCGTTTGAGTCATGTATGATTTTTTATAAAATTAAGAGACCAAAATGCAATAACCTTAACAAGTATAATTCGAAAAAGAATGAGACGAACTTCAGAAGAATATCCAACTTCAGAATTAAATTGGGGGTAGGTGTTCAAACTATAGAAAAAATGAAGGGAATGCCAAAGAGTATGTAGCAAACGTACTTTACTTCACTCTCTGATAGCTCTTTGGCTTGAGTATATAACATCTTAAGCTTCGAAAGGGAATTATCACCAGGCTTTTCGACCACCTCTGGAGCTGTATGGACAAGCAAAAAATATCAAACGAAGTAGAACTCTTAATAAACAAGAAGTGAGAAAGAATGATCATTTGCTGAAAATATGTAAACATTTATGTCCATTCTAAGCAAATCTTGTCTTGCACAAATGGGAAAGAAAAAGAAAAGGCAATTGTGGCAGCAGACAAGATAGTAACCCTAATTTTGCAATCAAATATTCTGGAAACACACGATGGTCATAGCATCCAAAGTTCCTAACATAATGAAGAAAATAGAAAGAAAAACGAAGGAGAATTAAAATTTCATACAAATATGCCTATAGTTATGTATGTGTTAGTTTCCTAAGTAGATTAAAATTTTCACTTACATGATTAAACCATATGGAGAAGTTCATATTTTCTTACTAGAGCAGAAACCACTCATCTTTACATAGAGTGCTACCCTAGAGTAAGATGAGAGAACACTTGAGAAACCCTATTTCCTGCACAGTATTGACCCATAGCTCGACTAATGATTCCAGCTTGCAATGACTCGAGCGGGCCTCAAATCCTCTGCTGAGCTCTACCATGTCTGCCTTTCCTTTGGAAGGGGCCAAAAAAAATGTCTCCACCTAATGTTTTCTATAACATAGGGCGTCTTTGAATTAATATTTGAGTGACATTGATTTACCCACTCTATGTGGGAGTGCAAATGCACTGAAATCGTGAAGATAGGGTAGAAAATAATGGCAGTTGGCTATTTGGGTTTAATTAGTGGGCAATGCACCAGCAAAGGGAAGCAAATTCTGGAGATTTATGATACAACAATCAGCAAAGAAGTCAGGCTTGCCGCTGACTTGTACTGGTAGCTCTTGAGCCGTTCTTTAATACAGTGGATGACTTCTACTAAAGACTCATCATTGTCTAGCTTGCATTTATTGTTGAAAACGTGCATCTGAAGATGAGCTATTTAAGAGATAAGCTTAACTAATTAAGCAATTTGGTTACTCTTTAATGCCCTTGTGGCCTTACGGTATTTTCTAAGATCATTAATTTTCCATTTTTTCCTGTTGGAGTGGGGGAGCGGGCATGTGCATTATACCGCTATGTTAATTGTGATACTAGATGCTATGACCACACACATACATGTGTCCAAAGAAAAAATTTAGAAATTGAAATGCAAAACAAGAGCATTCCGCATTTGGAGAATGATTGTAGAGAACAGATAAAATAGAAATATGAGAACAGAAACAAAAGGAGTACAAAAAGGTATTAAATACGTATGTTCCTTGATCAAGGCGCCCAAGGACAGTGGTTGTCTAAAAGCTCCCTCATCTCAAAGGCTGAAAGAATGCTATTAGAGTTATCACCTCAAATCCAATCGGTAACTCTAGACTCTATGTTGAAGATGAAAATCATAGAGTATACAAGAAAAATTACATCTTCGCAGGCTGCCACCAAGGTGTTCAAACTCCTCTTCTTTAATTTCCTCATGGTTCACATTTGAGAAATGTTGTTAAAGAAACCAAGAGATGAGGATCTCAGCAAATCATTCAAGAATCAACAAAGGAAACTGATGAAATAAAAATTACAAGACATACAACATAAATACCAGCAGGCAACCTAAACGAATAAAGTTTTGTTACACCGAATCTATGGAAATCCCTAGTAGATTATGAAATGAAAAATTCTTTTTCTCAGGGGTAAATCCTTAAATCCTCTTTCATTCCAGAATCAACAGAATTTATTCTTCGATTTTTCCATAAACCCCTTCACCGTTTCGGCCACGTCCATTTCCTCTCCGAAGAAGAACGTTTGGATCTTTCAATCTTATGTCGTGAGGGATGTGACCTATGTTAGGTCCATAAGATACCACAGCTTAGTCCTCTAATTGATTGTTACATGGGTTCTCAATGTGGTTAAGCTGGATGCATTTGCATCTCATACTTAATTTGAGACGAAGTTACAATGTGAAACATATGCACACATCCATGTTGACAAACCTCCTGGAATAACCTTCTGTTATCATAATTCTGGAAATGCTCGACAAATACAAATAAAGCCTAATAGGGTCAGATTATAACTTTTGATGGAAACCTAAGCAATCAGTTACAGATTGTCCCCACTACACTTGGTGAACAGTGACATAAATGTTATAAATTCAGTTAAAGTTTGATTCTTCTTAGCAATCCCGATTACGCCAGAATAATAAAGAACCTTTTCATCACAAACTTCCAAAATGTCACATAAATAAGTTAGATAAATCGAATCACATTTATTGGGTTTGGTAAATTTATAGCGCGACTCACTTGATTGGAGCTTCTTGTGCATCTTGTTGATCTCGAGGAGTACTTCTTCTTGTATTTTCCTTAACCGATCGAGCTCCCTCGAGTTGTCCAAGATTCCTGTAATGTCCGGCGACGACATCGATTTTCGATCGTTTAAACGTCTGCTCGGTTTCGAATCTGGGCTTTGGACTATAGTGTATAATTAACGTTGTTGTTGCTGCTTAATCATTGCCTTCATTAAATTTAGCTACAATATAAATACGGATTGGATTTTGATAATAGGGTTGAAATTTTTCAAAAGGAATTCGAGGGTTGGTCAGATGAATCTCCGCAATACGCGAAAAATAGCATGAACTATACCATTAAGTCGTTTGACTGCTCGATGATTGCCACGTGTCACAAATCTTTGTTAAGTGACCCATACCGAGGAGTGTATATTAGTTGATTTCTTAAGTGGGTTTGGCTAAGCTTAAAAGTCACTTACAAGTGAAAAATAATAATTAATATTTTATTGATAAAAGCTAAAAATAAGCAAGTTACAATTGATGGTAAATTAGATTGAGTCACGCTAGTTGTACAATCAAAGTTGTCAATTGATGGTAAAATTAGACTGAGTCATGCTAGTTGTACAATCTCGATTGACAACCACTCACATAGGGGGGTCCACTTTTTTTTTTTTTTTTGAATTTTTTAAACATGCGGATCTTGCACACATTTGAGGGGTTGTCAATCTCGATTGTACAAATAAAATTTTCCAATTAGACTTCCTTCGCATTAGAGAGTATTCAAGTTTTTCTTGTATTGTGCTCTTTTTAAGAGGGCACGCATACAAGAAAAATTGATATCCAAATTTTATGTTGGTTAACGAACCATATAAATTAATACATTCACATCGAGTTGAAAGAAAATAGAAATCTCATTGGGTAAAAAATACCTTGCATGATGAATTTCACCTCAAAATAGCAAAGTATAAATAGGAGGTGTTTAGAATCGAGAGTATTAAAAGTCTGTTTTATCATATGTATAATTATGACAAAGTACTTATTACCTATTAAAATTATTGTAATTGTTTGATTTATATGAATGATTTTGATCAAATCTAAAATCTTTGTAGAAGGCTAATCATTAATTTTCAGTCTTCGATTGAAACTATGAATGTAGTTTCCCTGTTTGGTAACCATTGTTTCAAAACTCTTCTTTCTACGTACTCATTTTCAACTACACATTCACACAATAAAATATATTGTACGAAAATCCAAAATTTTTCCAATATTTTAATCACATATTCTCCAAAATTCACTATTCAAAACTTTGTTTTTTTCAAATAATTGATTTCCATCAAACAGGGGTTTAATCCATATAAATTGAATAAAGTTATATGTACATTATTGGTTGACAATGCATTTGACATTCCTCCCATGTGGCAAAAATCTGGCAATGATGTGATAGTTATGGTCAAAATCAATGATGTAGATGTAGTGAAAGAGTGTATACATTAATGTAACACATAAAAATTTGAAGGCTCATTACTTTATTTGCCAAACATTGCATCTAACCTCCAAGACCAAATACTAATAATTTGACTTTCCAAACAAATAGGGGAGAAAAATGTGCCGGAGGTTACCCAATTTATAGGTTCATCTGATTTTTGATATTATTTGAAGATTGCCCAGCTTGATTTTTCATTTCAATTTGATGAAATTGATCTCCTAAACATTGATGCTTAACATGTCCACTACCTATTGTAGTGTGTCATGTCATTCGAATGCTTAGCATGAGTTAAGAATCGGTGCTTAGGAAATCAGTCATGTTAATTTGTTCATTCAATTTGACTATTTCATCGATAAGACCTACATAAATTTATAGAATTCGAGACCTGACCAATGGAATTGGTGTCCGGACCCATGAAATTTGCAACCTAACTAATATATATCTGTAAACATCATTTGTCACGTCATGGAAGACTTAATCATTTATAAAAAATAAAAATAAAAAGGGAATTTGTATGTTTGTAGCACCCAAAATAATTGACTTCCTAATTATAAGTTGAATCACGAATTCAGTTGACCACATTATGAATGGTGTAAAAGGTAACAAGAAATGGACGAAAATGGTCAAATTGAAATAAAAATATACGTTAACTGATCAAGTTGAATTTTTCTAAAGTTGAGTGACCAACACGAAGCAAAACTATAAGTTAAGTGCGCTCCATTGAAATTTCTTTCCAAAGAAAAAACTGAGAGCAGCAGTGCATTACACCGGTTCCATCGAATAATTCCGATTTAATACTGGAGCCCACCTGTTCTTAACTTAACATCGTTCCCACGCAGATCTTTTGTCGAAAAATCGAAACAGTAAAAGTTTTATTGATTGCAATCTGAATCAACTTTTCCTTTATAATCCATCATAAATTAGTTACCTTTTCATGGCAGATTTTGTTTGTCTCCTCGTTACAACACCATTTTTCCCGAGCATGACCCGCGAATTCTGAACATCTGGTCCACATCGCGGAATCAGATTCACTGGGTGAAATAGGTTCTCATCACAAAGGTGATTAATATTGAATCTCCATAATATTCTTATTGAATTTTTTTGTAGTTTTGTGTAAATTCTTTTTAATTCCGTTACAATTACAACGAGCGTAGATTAATGTTAGAAAGATTGGAGTTAAAACAGTTATTTTTACTGATTTTGGCTCAAGATTGAAAATTCTAAATCGTGGGTCTCGAATTTTGTTCGAATACTAGTTTCAGTGATTAATTTGTGTTTTTGCCATTCTTTTCATTTTGCGTATTGGATCATAGGGTTGATGTAAGTACTATGAAACTGTGCATTTGTTTTTTGAAGCAATGGAAACTTAATAGATATAAATTATGCAGATTACACACTGCTGAAAGAGTGCTGTTAACATGGGCACACCTATGCGACGATCCGGGTAATTCCTATTACAGAAACTTTAGAATTACTAGTGAAGAAACACTAATGAAGGTGCAAGAATTAATATTGTGGCTCCTTGTTTTGTTGCAGCGTGAATATTAGAAGAACGAATGAAACAATGAGGCTAATAGTAACTACTATCGTGGGAATCGTTTTTGGATTCTTTTTAGGTGTATCTTTTCCTACACTTTCACTGACAAAGGCAGGCAGACTTGACTCTTTTGATTTCTAAATATTTGTTTATATTAAAATTGATTTAATATTTTTGTTTGGTAAAAGATCATCATTTTGCACGCTATAATTTTTTCAGGTTCATCTACCTTCGAGCCTGTTTTCTTCTATAGACCTTACTTACATTGAGGACAAGTACTCGGGTCTCTCAACTCAAGCACTGTTAAATATGTGGTCTTCTCTTAAGGGTCATAAAGGCAGCTCACACAAAGTAAATAACACTAAGGTGAGTCATTTATCTTTGATGCAGGTCTGAGAGTTCCATTTGCGTATAACGTATCCCCAATTAAAATTTTAATTTTTTTTCTAAGGAACTAACTGAAGATACGCTAATTCAGTTTGTAAAGTCTAAAGATTGATGCCTTAACTTCATAGGAAACATAATTGTTTATGCGGGCTATGCTATAAGCATAAGATCTTAAGGCTTTATGGCTTTCTAGTACATGTAGCATCTTTTCTTCTCTTTTTAGCTGGTATCAGCAACTGTCTGAAATTCTATCAGAGATATTACATCCTTCAACCTATGCTGAGAAGACTGTGAGCGGTCTTAAAACTTCAGTTGGCTCTATATTTCGTTTTGTTAGATTCTATAGGCGAATTGCAGAATGCAATCTTACTAGAATGAAAAATTATGTGTAACACTTAATTCTGGCTTAAGTTGCATTTTTAATTTCAGTATTTCTAACAAGCCGAGGTGAGTTAAATTTTTTAAGCTTTGATAAGGCTCTTAACCAGTTTTAAGATGGAGTTCAAGCTTAGCTTGATTCTTAACAAGCAACTCTCAAATGAGCTTTACACAAGCCAAATGCAACTCAAGACTTAGTAGCACGGTAATTTTCTGCTTACTTTTCTATTGCTGCCTGTTATATTATTTCTTAATGATTTTCAAGCAGATCTGGGTTTCCACCAATCCTCGAGGAGCTGAGAGACTACCACCTGGCATTGTTACATCAGAGTCTGATTTGTATCTTCGCAGATTGTGGGGTCATCCTGGCGAGGTGTGTAAATTTTGCCATAGTTTGGTATGAGAGACTTGTTTTACCTGTCATTATTTAGCAATGGCAATAGATCGAATTTGAATATTATTAATCAGCTAATTTTCCATTTTTCCTTAATCTCGGCAATAGAGTTTGAACAATACTAAGCAGTTAATTGATTCCACTCTTTTCATTTTCATGGGAGCTTGAAATGATCTGCATATTCATATTTTCAATATTTTTCATTTTATTTGATATTTTATTGGTTATGCTTAATTTTGATGGCATAGGATATTCAATTGAAAATCAATCCGTGAATTACTTTTTTTCCCTCACTTCTAATTAAACAGTTGGATGAATGCAGGACTTAATTATCAAACCTAGGTACCTTGTAACCTTTACTGTTGGCTATGAGCAGAGAAAAAACATTGATGCTGCAGTTAAAAAGGCAAGCCAAACTTCCACTCTGTTGTCCCTTCGTGGTGGCTGTTTTTTGTGTTTTGGGGTGAACCTAGACTTACATTGCTCAACAAATTTGTACAGTTGACAGAGAACTTTATGATTCTGTTATTTCACTACGATGGCCGGGTAAGTGAATGGGATGAATTTGAGTGGTCAAAATCGGCTATCCATGTGAGTGTGCTGAAGCAGACTAAATGGTAATTGTATAATTACCACTCTTCCTGTTTCCTTGTACAATCCTGATATAGGTTTTTAATAGTGAATATAATTCGTATATTATCCACATTGCAAGGTGGTACGCTAAGCGTTTTTTGCACCCTGATATTATGGCACCCTTCGATTATATATTTATCTGGGATGAGGACCTGGGAGTCGAGCAATTTGATCCAGAGGCGTGAGTAGAAACATCCAGTATATTCTGATGTGATTAATAAAGCTGTTTGGTCAAATTATACTCTAAATTTAAATTTCCTATGAGACAGATATATAAAACTGGTGAGGAAGCATGGTCTAGATATTTCACAGCCAGGGTTATCTGCAGATAGTGGCATGACATGGCAGATGACGAGAAAACGAGATGACACTGAAGTTCACAAGTAAGAACAAAAAAAGGATGCTATTAAAGCAGTGTTTTCATTACCGAATTTCCTATGCCCTGTTTGATGCTTCCTCCCTCTTGCATCTTAAAGGGGTGTTTATTATGCTCTATTAGGACTTGACAGTACATTGAAAGATATTTCAACTTCTTTCTCTGCATTAATACTCTTCACTATTATCGAGTCTACCTTACCAAACATGTCATGAATGTACTGTGTCGTGTGTTTAGAATCTAATTACTTCTGTTGACACAGAGAAACAGAGGAAAGACCGGGTTGGTGCACTGATCCTCATTTGCCACCATGTGCAGCGTATGTGAATGAATTTTAATTTTGTTAATGACTGCTTGTTATTTAGTTATGCATCTACTTGACTTAAATACTTTTACCTGCTAACATGGTGATATACAGATTCGTCGAGATCATGGCACCTGTGTTTTCTCGAAATGCATGGCGCTGTGTCTGGCATATGATTCAGGTATCAAGCATGATCTTTGCTTTCTTCACGTTCTAACAGTTTTGTGACTTGGAGAGCAGTGAAACCACGGCTCCCCCCCACCCCAAGTCAAATAAGAAAGAAAAAAGAGAGACCCTGTCCTTTTGAATGTAAAACCTTAACATTGCTAGTGATGCTGCAGAATGACTTGGTCCATGGATGGGGTCTTGATTTTGCTCTCCAGAAATGTGTTGAGGCAAGCTATCATCAATGTTTCTTTATGCTTACTGCAGATACAGTCTTTTTATGCTTATTGCATCAACTTTTAAAAGCAGCCAGCTCATGAAAAAATAGGAGTGGTAGATTCTCAATGGATTGTGCATCAAACAGTTCCTTCACTTGGAAACCAGGTAATTTTTGAGATCTCACCTTAAACAAGTGTCATCTGGATGGAATTTCTCGTTGTAAATTCTCTCTTTTTACAGGGTAAGGCAGAAAAAGGCAAGGCGCCATGGGAAGGGGTATGTAACAACTCAACTATAATACATTCTTCATTACTTTGCATATAGTCACAAAAGCATCTTGACTAATTCATATTCATAGCACAACGAAGCCACCACAAGTCACCTAACCCTATCAATTTATCTACGTATCACTAATCACATATAATACTTGTACCATCCTTCTAACTGAATTGACTCGAGGGGTCCAAATTTCTTATTTTTATGACCCCCCCTTCTCTTTTGGCTTAGGTAAGGGAGAGGTGTAGAAATGAATGGACAATGTTTCAGGACCGCATGACTGCTGCAGAAAAAGCCTACTATGATGCTATGGGAATTGATCCACCCAATTCCACAGCTCGTTAGGTGGATCGTTTGGGTGACAAGATTCGTGCTTGGACACTGCATTGACACTTCCTCTTCGACAAACTCATAGCAGTAACCTTAACAATAGAGAAAGCTTGTTCTTGTTTGAACTGGTTTTCATTAATATAATTTTCCTTTCCGCCTCCACCAAGATAGGAAATTGTACTGAAGGAAGGCTTATACTGTTCTCAAAGAAAAATGACTGCTAATTTATGTCTAGAAAAAGTGTAGAGGGGAGAGGCATGTTGGGTCCTATGTAATATATGCCACCTCAAAACTGGCCTGCACGACTCAGTTTACACCTATAGTAACTGATTTCAAGTGGCATGAAGATACTAATCCAAATTCGTATTAAACATCGATCATCAGCCTGCATTCGCACATCTCAAAACACGAGCATGTGTGTGCGCTGAAGAGAGAGACTTAAATAACTTGACCATACTTTACAAATCGTTGTAAGAAAATTATACATTTCAGCATCTAGAAAACAGATTCAATGAATTTGTTCTTATTGCATGTCAAAAATGGGCTTCTCTCAATGTGATCACTCTAGACTTGCAAGAGTACAAAGAAAAGACTATAAATATCCTTTGTTAATTGCTTCTTCCAGCTCTCGAAATTCCCAGGAATCGTCTGCTGAATATTCTCCTGACAGACGTAGAGAACATAATTAGCCGAAATGCAGCGGAAAACGAACTAGAGATAGAAAGGAGGAGAAAGAGAGAAAATCCAATCCTTCAAGTAAATTATGATACATGAACTCGTGGAAGAAACAAGTTTGAATGAATTGCCCCGAGTTGTCAATTGTAATTTAAAAATAAACTTTATTTTTGTCGACAATCCTAAGGACCATCCATTTTCATTCGCATAATTATCACCTTATAACTATGTATCCTCTCTCAAGCAAAACTTGTTTCACATAACACGCTCAAAACGTATGAGGAAAATGAATAAGCAATTAAATTGAGTATACGCAAGGCTATCAAGTTGGCACAGCTGCAAGAGAAAAAAAATACTGTCGAGTTAGAGTCTAGATGTCATTTATGAAGAAATTGTTGCATTATTCTCCAAGCTCCTTTAAGATAGTAAGAGAGGGTGACCTGGATTGAAAAATATTGTTTATATCCCACCTGCCCAGAGCTTTTCCAAAATCAGCAAAAACAGATTGAATATATGTCCCTTTTGAGCATGTCACCTGGAAAATAACATTTTGGCTGTCATCTAAACCTCGTTCAACACTGAACTCAAAGATTGAAATCCATCGTCGTGAAAGTTCGATACTTTCTCCTTTTCTAGCTTTCTCATACATCCTTTATCCGCCAACCTACTATATGGAGAAACGTCAAGTCAGCAATCAAATGCTGTTCTCCAAATGAAATGGGCATAAATTTGTGGTATGATTTCTTCTCTGTATAAACATCTCTGTGTTCCATTAGCAAACATGTATTTTATCCCATAAGAAAATAAAGCATATTATGCCAGTTGTAACCGTCTCAAATTGCTACTTATACCAGACAACAAATCGCTGCTTCACACTCTACCGAAAAACAATATCCATCCCTACTAAATAATGCAATTGTACAACACAGCATAACAGAAACAGAGCGGCAGAAATCTTACTTTGATGGCAGAGAACATAGGAGGGACTTGCCATCTCTCTCCACAAAAGGATGCAGCAGCTTTCTTAATGTCCTCATTCTTAATATGTCCCCAAGGCTCACATTGTATATCGCCTAACTAATTTTGTCGATGATAACTGTAGTTAGGAAGAAAAAAAAATGAAAATGCAGGAGAAATCATGGTAATCGACCCTGTCGGCATTGAAAAAATTTGGTTCCCAGACTCCCATGATGAAAATTGGTTTTATGTCTGTTCACTGAAAGGTTATATGTTCAGATTAAAGGCCTAGATACCCATTACCAAGGTCAAAAAACCAAAGATGGTTTTAATGTTTCTTGCATGAAGTACTCAGACCTAGGGGACAAGGATACATGGCAACCAGTGTGTTTTAACTTTTAAGAGGCTAAATCGGGTATTAACGAGCTTTGCCTCTATGAGACGATGTGTAACCCCCGGAAGAAACAATAAAATAATTCAAATACTGAAAAATGCAAAATTATTCACATATTCATAATATGATATTGCACTGAAATTTAAAGTATGCTTCAACCAGAAAAATGAAATGGACTGATAAGTAACAATACATAAAAGACAACTAATTTTGAGCTAGAATTAAGAGTCTTAAATAAAATAAACAAATGACTAACTAACTAGAATCTTACTTCCTTTTCACTTTTTTAAAAGAAAGAAAACATTGAAGTTATGTGCCTTAATTCCTACTAAGCAAAATACAACTCCATTTGGGAGAGTTACGATATTTTAATTGCAATAAGCTCGGGCAAATCTGGCTTCACTGATCATGACGTTTAAGCCTCGAGGCATAAAATTTGAAGCTCTCAATGAAGGACTTGCATGAGGTGTGCATCTGGGTATAATCCATGGGCGGATCTACAGCAGGGCCTAGTGGGGCAAGTGCCCCACTAGCCCCACTAGATTTTGAATTTTTCTTAAACATAAAAGGAAAAAAAAGATCTGAAACTCTCCAGACTCCATTAGGCAGCAGCCCAACTTCAGCTTGAGCTCGCCTCTCCTCTCTAGTCTTTCCCGTCTGAGCCGTCTCCCACACGGATTTCTCCCGTTTCTCCTCTCATCTCTCCCAAAAAAATCTGAAACTTACCTCTCATTCCTCAATTCTCATTTCTCCTGTCCCGTCTTCCGTCTCCCACACACGTGCGGCGTTCCGTTTCCGAGCTCCGCCCATTCCAAGCTCCAACTCCAGTCGTCGTCACCACCGTTGCACTACTCCCGTCAGCCTGTAACGAGGTAAGTTCCCGTTTTCCTCTCAAAATGAAAGTAATGGATTTAGGGTTTTTTTAGTCTATTTTTCTTCTGTTTACCCGATTGATTTATAATTTATTGATTGTTTCTAGCTTTATTTAGGGATTTTGGTTTATTAGTGATTTGTGAAGCTTTATATGCTGCAATTGTGATTTGTGAAGCTTTATTTAGGGATTTAGCATTTAAGGACTGTGATTTATTGGTGATTTGTGAAGCTTTATTATATGTTGCAGTTGTAAAGTATTATATGCTGCAATTGTGATTTGTGAAGCTTTATTCAGGGATTTAAGCATTTAGGGATTTTGATGAAACTTTATCTATTGAATAGCCGAGTAGGCAATTGTGATTTGTGAAGCTGTTGATAGGCAAGATTGAAAATGATGTAATTATGGAACGTTATCAAAATATGAGAACACGTAAAAAATAATTGTAATAAGAGACCTCAGACGAGCATTTTTTAGTTACTTTGTGAAAGTTAGATTGTGCCCCCTAGTTTCAAAAGTCTGCGTCCGCCCCTGGTATAATCCTCGGTCAATTTTTCAAACAACATCGTATCTGTTACTAACCTCATCTCATCTTGATTTCTCAAATCACAGATTATGTAATTCTTCTTCTATAAACCCAAATATTAGAACTTCAGGCACCAGTATTTCACCACCTACAATAGCCAACTGTTTAAAACTCTTACCAGTGTGTTGACAAGGAATTGTAAGAAAGCTGACAACTGAGATTAGCTCAAATTACAGATGTATGCACTGCTAGTTTATCTTTTCTTAATTATTTTAAAGGGAAATAAACAACACAAATTAGGAACTTTAGGAATACAAGACAGCAAGTAGAATTTATCTCAATACACAAACATACCGGTGAATCAGCATCCCAAGTTCTAAACGGAAAAGGACTCGTTTGCACTTTTTTTTAAAAAATAAATTTTTTAATAATTTATTTGTGACTTATTTGCGCTTTTTAAAAAATTTTGGAACTGTGATTGCAATTAATTTTTTCCTTTTTGTTTTATTTAAAGAAAATTGTATATTCGTCATTTCATAATTTTTAATTGAGAAAATGGGTAAAATGACATTTTACGGAATGAAATGTGGAAATAAGGGTGAAAATGCCAAAAAAAAAAAGAAAGGTATGGACATTTTCGACAATAATAATGAATTGTGCGAACGTTATGTGCTAATTGTCCTAATGGAATCAAATAAAGGCTTAATAAATGAAAAGACGGTGTCTTAGAACTTTGAAATAAATATTAATCTTCTAGAATAATTTCATCAGAACAAAATACACTATCTGTTGACCTCAATTTTTGTAGGGATAACGTGGTCATCGGCTCCATGTAAATATCATCTTGCACAGGGTAGCAAACCGTTAGTTGTTCATGGCCTTTTTCGGTAGTGGTGGAGGCGGTCGTGAGTACTCCAACGATCAAGTCACTAAACAGTACTTGAATTCTAAGATAATAGAGCAAAGCTTATGTTTTAGTATATAAAATTGCATAACTTTGGGAATGGCACTAAGTGTGGATATTTATAGGGCAAGAGGTAAATTTGAGACTGTTGGATGGAGGGACACATAGTCGCATCTGTTGGTTGAGGCATCCTCTCTTAGACATCAATCAATCAATCCATAAGTTAATGCTCCCTAATGAGTGGATTTTGTGCTTGAAATTTTGGCGTCTATTGCACAAATATCACATCAATTAATCATGTGGATCTTTTTTTTTGGCTAAATTTTTATACAAAAGATCCCTTATTTAATATGGACAAAACAATGTGATAGTATTCAAGCAACATCGTTCCACCTCATATCACTTTGTCTTATATCTTTCTGAGGCATCACTTTGGCACCTCGATCAAAATGTGGATATACACGTGGACCACTTCACTTGACAATTCGGCGGTGCAGGTGACGTGGAGCGAGGACCTTTTTTATTTGCTTAGCTAACAGTCATGTTGGTGACGATCTAGAGCCTCCTCATAAGAAGCGTAACACTATCCATTATTAGCCTTTTCATATGCGATATTGATCAAATGAAAAATCTAATATTTTTAACTGATAACTGAAGGATCCAGTGTCACTTTATCGTGTCATGAATA